GCTGAAAAGGCATTGTGAAATACGTTGTTTTCTATATAAAGTTTGGAGTTCCGGGGCTGGAGAGATACACAGTGGGTAGGGCGTGTGTCTTTCACGTGGCCATCCCGGGTTTGAGTCCCAGCATCCATATGGTCTCCTGAGTGCAGAGCCAGGAGTAACCCCTGTGAGTGCAGAGCCAGGAATAACCCTTGTGCATCGCCAGGTATGATCCAAAAAGCCAAAAAAAAAAGTTTGGTGTTCCTCCCCTCCAAACACAGGTGTGAGGTGCTGCGTCTCGCTGAGCAAGCAGAAGGAAAGCAGAGAGCTCGGGCCCAGTGGTTGATGCAGATTGCTGGGCCGGGCCGTCGAGCAAGGGAAATTTGGGGATCTCTGGGACCCTTCCTCGGGCCCAGTGCTCTCCGGGGCCCCTAGCTTGGTCGTGTCCTACGAGTTGGGGGCGAGCCTGGCTTTGTGCTTGCTTTGCGTTTGGACGGGCAGGTGGGGTGTTCAGGGCCCAGCTGCTGACACCTGATCCCGCCCTGGCCAGGTGGGAGGACGGAGTTTGGCGGCTGGCCCCTGAGATGCCCAAGATAACCAGTCAAGGAGATAACCAGAGTCAATCCCAGTCGAGTTGGGTGATAGGCTGAGATAACGCACCGAGCCGCTGAGACAGATCCTGTCTGGGGACGCTCGGGCACCTTGATCCCAGGCCGGCCTGGCCTGGCAGGGGGCGGAGGCGAGTGGGCACCAACCAACCTCGGCGTTTCCGTGGCTCAGAGCTTCCGGGCCCTTCCGCTTGCTCTGCTGTTGTTTTGATTTTGGGTCACACCTGGACATGTTCCGGGGTCACTCCTGGCTCTGCACTCAGGACTTACTCCTGGAGGTGCTCTGGGGTCCCTATGGGATGCCGGGATTGAACCCAGGTCAGTTGTGTGCAAGGCAAACGCCCTCCCCGCTGTACTAGAGTTCTGGCCCCGTGGCCCAAAACTTAAAGAAAAATCCTTGCTGGGGTTGCCCCGTCGCTGGCGCCCTGTCAGCCTCGTGGGTCTGCACACGGCCTCGAGTGGCCAGTGACAAGGTGCGCCCTCCTGGCCTCCTGCTCCCCAGGGCTGCTCTCTGCCCGGTGCTCCCGGCCCTGCAGCCCTCAACTCCTGCCCTGTGTTCCCTCCTCCTTTCTGTGGTGTCCCCCTCCTCTCTCGGTGGCCCTCCCCCTGGGGTCACCCCCCTTCCTGCGTGGTGCTGGGACAGCAGAGCTGCCTGGTTTGTGCCGGCTTTATGCCAGGTGCACATGTGACCCCTGGGACTTGGACTCAGGACCTCATGCTTGTGAGGCAGTGCTCAAAACCCCCTCTCGGACATTCCTCCCCTCCAGGCTGAAGGAACGTACTTGACCCACGTTCAGGCTCACACCTCTGCTTCCTGCCAAATCACTGCCGGCCACTAGCAGGCCAGGACCCGTGTGCCACGCCTGTGTGAAGCAGGGACGTTCTGGGGCGTGAGCCTGCTAGCGTCTTTGTCATGGACACATGTGGTCCCATCACAGGATTTAGGGTCACGGTCCAAACACAGGAGCATGGGGGTGAGGGGGTCGGGGCATGTTTAGGCCGGAGACTCTACTGGGCTCACACACGGCACTGAGTGCTCAAGTCTCAGGGAGACAGTGAGGCTCAAACACATTTTCTTTCGCGCTGTTTTTTTTCTTTTTTTTGGCTTTTTGGGTCACACTCAGGGATGCTCAGGAATTACTCCTGGCAGTGCTCAGGACTGGTGATCGAATCTTGGTCAGCCGTGAGCAAGGCAAACCCCTCCCCACTGTGCTCTCACTTCAGCCCCTCCTTTTGCATCTTTTTGTGTTTTTTTCAGAATTGATTGACTTCCTCGTAGCGTTTGCTGGCCCTGACGTTCTCTGTAGAGTCCCTTGTTGCACACTGTGTTTCGTGGGCACCTTGGCATCAAGACTTGGCGCTTGCCTGGTGCATGGCTCACCCCATAGGTCCCCCTGAGCACCGCCAGGAGTGATTCCCGAGAGCAGACCCAGGAGTAACCCTGAGCACTGCCGGGTGTCCCATAAAACAAAAGGAAAGAAAGAAAATAGGTATCCTTGACCGGAAAGGTAGCCCAGGGCCAAGGAGCCTGCCTTGCCTGCGGCTGACCCCACCCCACCCTGTACGTCACCCCCCCCCCCCCCAGGTCCTGCCAGCATGAGCCCCGATGACTGGATCAAAGTCGGCCCTGAGCACGGCCAGGTGTCCCGTCCAAGTGTCCCGACCTGAGCCCCCAGGTTAGGTCACTCCACCCTCCCCACCTCCCCACCACTCCCCCGTTCCTGCTCACTCATCCTCGAGGGGACCCGCACTCATTCAGCTTGTGCTCCCATCCGAGCAGGCCAGGCCAGACTCCTCTGTACAGCTCTCAGGCCTTAGTGGGCTGGGCCACTCCCTGGCCACGGTGCGGCAGGTGTTGCTCACAGCACTGGGGTCACAGAGAGCAGGGCTATCAGGGTCGGGCTCAGGGCCTCTGCCCTGTCGCTCTGCCCCTCCGCCCCCGCCCCCGCCCGCCCATAGATTTTATGGCCCAGCTCCTGAGGAGGGCCCTGGGCACAGTCACTGGGTCCAGGTCACACTCGGGGGACGCCGAATGACCTCAGTTGGAGATCTGTAACTGCCAAACATTTGTCAAACGTTTTCTGAAACCACTTTCTCAGGGCCCAGGAGTCCAGAACTGGGCCCCGCAGGGACCAGAGGCACATTGGCCAGCTAGTGCTGGCATCTGCAGGGCAGCCCTCCGGAGCCTCAGCCGGACCCTGGCATCACGAAGGGTGGCGCCTGCCCCTTTAAGAAGGGCCCATGATGCCCTCCTCCTTGCGGAATTCTCATTCTACCTTGGAACATTCTAGACTCCAAGTGCCATTTTCAGTCTCTGTAGGAGACTGGCACGAGCCTGTTTGGCAGAGCTCAGTTCTTTAAGCTGCGAGTGCAGTGTGACACAGGTGAATCTGAGTCTCTGGGCTTTTTGCCCGCGTGCGGGTGGCTTTTTTCTCTAACAGTTCTTTAGTGTATGATAGTTTTTAATCTGTAGTTCGTTTAAGTTTTTTTAGTAGTTATATATATATATATATATATATATTTTGGGGGGTGGGGGTGGGGTGGGGTGGGGTGGCCATACCTGGCTGTGCCCAGGGGTCACCCTGGCCGGCTAACGTCCCTGTGCTGATGGAGATCGAGCCCAGGACAACTGGATAGAAGGCAAGTGCCCTCCCCACTGTCCTGCCTCTCTGCCCCCTGCGGACTTTTCTATTAAATACGGAATGACTCTGAAGTCAGTGGGCCCTCATGGGGGGCTGATGAGAAGCAGAGGAGAAGATGTCACTCCCCCGGGACTGGCTGGAGCGCTGGCACTGATGAGCGCGACGAGCCCTACCAGCCACACGACACCCACTAGGCCTTCCCGGGATCTCGGGCCGGAGTGAGGGGTTGCCCTTTTCAGGGAAAGGGAGTCGATCCTCGACCTCCTCAGGCCCCCGGGCCTTTGTCCTTCTCGCAGAAAATCATTTCAGGAGATGAGCATGAAGCAGGAACATTTTATTTGGAGGCTTTTAGGAAGGGGAAATGAGGGAGGGAGTAACACGCTCGAGAGAGAGTGCGGCTTCTCCAGAGGCGCAGAAAGCCACTGAACACGTTAGGTTGCCTGGTTGCGTTCGGTCCGAAAGTCCACACCTCAGGAGGGGAGAAGCCCGTGACATGACCGACCTCGTAGGCAAGAGCAGTCCCTGGGCTCGGGCACACATGAGCGCCCTCCCTTGGTTCAAGGGGGCTAATCTCGGGTTTTCCCCAGGCTGCCCCTGGTGGGAGTTTCTAGCTACCTAGAGTCCGTTGCTAGGGTGGTTGCCAAGGGGGTAGAGTTGAGTGGTCCAAGGTCCTCTTAGAAATTCCTTTCCTGGCCTTTGTTCCTATTCCCTCGGGGGGTCCAGCCTGCTCTGGGCCTCCTAATGTGGGTTAATTTTGACCAGATCTTGGGTCCCGTGCCCTCAGGTGGTCTTTTGGTGGCCATGAAGCTATTGTTGACTTCCTCGGAGTTCCATTGCCATGACGACGCTTCCCCCATCCACATGTCTGCCTCAGTTCTGTGGGTTAAGAAATGCAGTTAATACTGGCTTGCGGTTATCAAACTTGGGCACCGTCACAAGGAACGAAGGAAACGCCAAAACCTCCTTCGCTCCCCTTTGGCGCAATTTTTTTTCTTTTTGGGTCGCACCTGGTGATGCACAGGATTTACTCCTGGGTCTGCACTCAGGAATCAGTCCTGGCAGTGCTCAGGGGACCATATGGGATGCTGGGAATCGAACCTGGGTCGGCCACGTGCAAGGCAAACGCCCTACCCACTGTGCTATCGCTCTCCAGCCCCCCTTTGGCGCAGTCTTGCTGGGCCCTTTTCCCTGGCAGTTCTCCGCCCATAGAAAAAAGTGTGCCTGTTGCTTGCCTTAGCTTCTGTGTGTAACCCCGGGCCTCTCACACACATACATACGCACACATGCACACACAAGACCAGCCATCACTGCTGAGTCGCCTCCCGGCTAGTCAGTGTCTGGACGGGAAGGTGGTCAGTGGCACTCACAGTGCACAGGGACGATTTCTGGCTCCTGAATGTGTTTGGGGGTGGGTGTGATGCCAGGGAGGGCGTGAGGGTCAGCTGCCCGCAGGGCAAGTACCTGTCCCCTCTGCCCTCTGGCCCTGAATCTGCTGTTGTTTGTTTGTCTGTTTGGGATTGAGTTTTTGTGCAGGAATGGCACTTGGTGGGCTCAGGGGGCTGTGCGGGAGGCTGGGGGTCGCACTCGGGGTGGCGAGTGTCAGACTGGCAGCTCTCTGGGCTCCAGAAGCTGCTGTGGTCACTCCCGTGAGACAGACTCTCTCCTCTGCTCTTCAGAGATTTATCCCTGAGAACGAGTGCGCCTCAGAAGGCCCCACAGTGGGCTCGACAGTCAGGGCCCGGTAGTGGCCGCGGCAGCGTCTGACCACCTGACCATGAGTCTGCTGAGGCCCAGCGGGCTGAAGGCCCCCACCAAGATCCTCAAGCATGGGAGCTGGGCCCTGAAGGCGCCCTCGGCCGGTAAGTGCGCTCAGCCTGGGCCAGGGGAGACTCATTTCCACCCGGGAACCCCCTCCCGAGTCCTCGCCCGGGAAGGGCTCCCTGAGCTGTAGGCACGTTCATGGCTCTGGGGACAGCTCTCACACACGAGTCTCACGTTCTGTGACTTTAGTGTCACGGCAAATGGTGACAGCTGAGGCGACCAACACGCTCCCTCCTAACTGCTAGCCCCCTCGCCCGGGCTTGGGGACAGGCTGAGGGAGGTGGACTCACCTGGACTAAAGGGCCTCATTGCCGGCCGTAGCCACAGTACAGTGGGGAGGGCAACCGGCACCCCATGGGACTCTCCAGCCTCAACCTCACATGAGTGACCCTGAGCGCAGAGCCAGAAATAGGCCCTGAGGACTGGCTGGAGTGCTCCCCCCCTAAAAGAAAAAGAAGATGGGCCAGTGGACACAGCAGAAATAAGACACTGGGGTGGAGCTTTCGCCTGGCTTGCTCCGTAGCATCACGGGGTGTGTCCAAAGATTTCCCCTCAGCTGCCCAAATATGACTGCGGCCTGGGATGCTGCAGTAGGTAGGCAAGTCCCCTTCACGGCGGGCCCGGCCAGGCTTCACCACAAGCAGCCCCCGGCATTGGCTGGGAGTAGCCCCAAGCACTGCTGGGTGTGCCCCCCCCCCCAACCACACTTTAACTGGACCTGGACAGACTCTTCCTGACCCTTCTGACCCTTCTGACCCTTTCTGCTGTTCCAGCGGCTGCTCCCGTTGAGAAGTCCGTGCCTGGAGAGAAAACACCCAGCGCCCCCTCCTCGGAGACGCAGGAGGAGTTTGTGGACGACTTCCAGGTGGGGGAACGAGTCTGGGTGAAGGGGAACAAGCCTGGATTCATCCAGTTCCTCGGGGAGACCCAGTTTTCCCCTGGTCAGTGGGCCGGGATCGTCTTGGACGAGCCCATTGGCAAGAACGACGGCTCGGTGTCGGGTGTGCGCTACTTCCAGTGCGAGCCGCTGAAGGGCATCTTCACCCGGCCGTCCAAGCTGAGCAGGAGCTTGCAGGCCGACGATGAGACCAACGGCCTGCAGCCAGCACCTGCTGCCCGGGCCACACCGCCCCTGTCGGCCTCTCGGGCCCCTGCCGCCGCCCCGAAGGCGCCCCAGCCCTCCACAAAGGAGGCACCGGTCGCCCCTCACATCAGCAACCTGACCAGGACGGCCAGCGAGTCCATCTCCAACCTCTCGGAGGCTGGCTCCCTCAAGAACGGGGAGCAGGAGCTGAAGCTCGGGGACCGGGTGCTGGTGAGTGCCGAGGGCAGCGGTCGCGGGTGGGTGTCCATTCGCCTGTCTGGTTCATCAGCTTTTCCAGACTCGCGGTTTGGGTGGAAGCACGAGCAGCCGGGACGCCTGGTCCTGCAGTTTCCAGCGTGATGGATGCGTGCGGGGATGCTGCCAGTTTTACCAGTTTAGCCAAAACAGGGTGGAGGGGTCATGCCGTGGGGAGGCCGTGTGCTTTGGACGCCTCTGACCCGGGGTTTAAGTCTTGGTCCCATGTACAGTCCCCCAAGCACATCCCGGAGTGATCCCTGAGCACCAAGCCAGAAGTAAGCCCTGAGCACTCTGACTGTGACTCAAAAAACAAACCAATGAACAAAGTTGGAAATCGGTTCCATTTCTCTGGTTTGTGATGTTTGTGTTTGGGGCGTCACGGGGCTCACCCCAAGCCGCTCTGGGCCATTCCGTGCCCGGCTGTGCGCAAGCCCTGAGCCGTCTCTCCAGACGTGTGTGGTTTGGTGTTTGGGCCACACCTGGCCGTGCACAGGGCTTCCTCCTGGTGCTGAACTCAGGGATCTGGTAGGGCTCAGGGGACCATCTGGGGTGTCGGGGATGGACCCTGGGTAGGCCATGGGTAGGGACCCGTCTCCGGAACATTCTCAAAAGTATGTTTTGCTGACTTGGTTGCTTGATCTTCAGACTCAGCACCTGCTCTTGTGTTTCTCTGAGCAGCTACTGGAAGGTGGGGGTGAGGGGGCACCCCCGTGAGATGAGTTTCTGGTGGGGGTCACCAGGTCCCTGCACGTGACATCCTCAGTCTACCCCAAGCCCTTTCCTCTGCACAGGTCCCCAAAGCAGAGGCGCTTGGCTGTAGACAACTGTTCTCCCCCAGCAGAAGCACTCAATAACGCTTTCAGAACCCATGGGAAGCGGCCGGGAAAAGTCCCCTTGGGAACCTCTGAGGCGGGCGGCTCTGACCAGACAGACTGGGGGCTGGCCCGGAGCCAGTGGCTTCCCGGGGACCACAGGCCGGTGTCCGAGTGGTGGAGGCGGGAGAGGAGAGCAGTGAGGGCACCCGCCTGTAGGTGCAGGGTGGCCCTCGGAGGGTCCTGGAGGGTCACGGTCGGTGTTCGGGGGTGGCCAAAGAGTAACACGGGGAGGGAATTGGAGCTGGAGGAGACACACGGTTTAAAGACTGTTTGGGGGGCTGGAGCAGTAGTACAGCGGAGAGGGCGTTTGCCTTGCACTCAGCAAACCTGGGTTCCCCGGTATCCCATAGGGTCCCCCAAGCATCGCTGGAATGATTCCTGAATGCAGAGCCAGGAGTCACCCCTGAGCATCGCCAGGTGTGAGCCAAAGACCCAAAGAAGAAAAAAGACTTTTTTTTTTTTTAACTTGCATTCACGGGCTGGAGCGATAGCACAGCGGTAGGGCGTTCGCCTTACAAGCGGCCAACATGGCCGACCCGAGTTCGATTCCTCCGCCCCTCTCGGAGAGCCCGGCACGCTACCGAGAGTATTCGATATGCCAGACACAGTAACAACAAAAGTCTCCAATGGAGACGTTACTGGGCCCGCTCGAGCAAATCGACAATCAACGGGAGGGCCTTTACCTTTTAACTTGCATTCACAACCGTCCACACCCGGACACAGGGACATCAGTGTTGTTGGAACAAGGGAGCGGGGACACCGGCACTGGCTTTGCGGTGAATAACTCTGATCAGTTATTTATTTATTGGTGGTGGTGCTCAGGGCTGAGTCCAGGCCCTGTGCTCAGGGACCACATCCGGGCAGGTGTGTGCAAGGCCAATGTCCTGCCCTCTGTGCTGTTCCATCGCTCCATACCTCAGCTACAGCACGCCTTTCAAAAAAAAGTTTTTGAGGGTTTTTTTGGGGGCCCACAACCAGCATAAGAGCTGTTTTCTGAAAGAAGAAGGGGGAAAAAAGAAAACCCAAACACTTTATTTGGTCTTTTTCCTAATTCAAGGAAGGTTTGCTTGGCGCTCCACGGCCTAACGCAGCGGGGTCAGGAGGCCGTGGCGAGTGGGGGCTGGCCTCGGTGCACTGAGGCGAAGCTCCTGTGCAGGGTTGGCGCCCTCCCGGCTCTCCAAAGGGCCTCCTGCCCTTTGCCCCATTCTTCCCTGCGCACAGGAAGTCCAGGTTCTGCGCCAGCTGGCCCCGATGTTTACGGGACTGACCTCCGAGGAGCCCTTCGAAGGCTCTGACATGGCTGTTCCAGCCTCCAGGCCTGTGGAAGACGGTCCCCTGCCCCCGGCACTCCCTGTCACTGGCAGTGGACAGACTGCCCCCATGCTTGTGCTACTTTGGTTCTCTCTGGAGACTCAGGGACCCTCAGTGGGGTCACTGGAAATGCCCAGCTCTGACCTCAAGTCCCGTCTGTGCTTGCAAGTAGGCAGGGGTCGCAGAGCGGGACAGTCAGTCGCTCTGGTCAGTCTTATGGTGTCTCAGAGCGGGAGGTCACTCTGTCCGTCCTGTGGCGTCTCAGAGTCCAACCGTGAAGAGCTTCTCCGGGCTGATGTGCGGTGGTTCTCCTGACCTTGGGAGATCACTTCCCTTCTCTCCAGCTGAGCTCTGACAGAATGTTCTGGAGACAGGCTTGCAGCAGTTTTGGGCAGATGATATTTCCAGGATATAATGTCAGGGTCTTGAGAGACTTGACTGGCTTCCAGCTGTGCTGTTCCAGGAGGCTGTTTCCAGGTCAGGGACGGCATGTGCTGTGCCGATGACCAGCTGTGAGACAGGAACTTTGCAGCCTCTTCTCACCCCAGGACCGCCACCCCAGCCACCTCTCTCTTGCTGTTTTATTCCTTGTCACACTCACAGTGCCCAGGGCCCACGTCTGGCCATGGAGACTGTGCCAGGGCCTTTGCAGATGGCACTTCAGGACTCACAGAGACAGTCCTGGGTGACGCTGCTACCCCTCGTGCTGCAAGTGACCCCCGACCACGTGAACCCAGTCCTACCCCAGACCCAAAAAAAGAAAACCACGCTCTCGGGCATTATTAGTTGAGGTTCCTCTCTCTCTCTCTCTCTCTCTCTCTCTCTCTCTCTCTCTCTCTCTCTCTCTCTCTCTCTCTCTCCCCTTTCTGTTTTGACTTTTTGGTTTTGGGGCCACTCCTGGCAGTGCTTATGGGTCACTCAGGCTTTGCACTGAGGAATCACTCTTGGCGGGCTAGGGGGACCATCTGTTTTCTCTGTTTTGCTCTGCATCCCGGGGGCCAAGCATCAAGCCAAGGCATAGTGAAGGAGAACTGGAAAATCGAAGTCCGCTAAGATATGAGAACAGTCATTTTCCTTTAGATGGTTTCTGGCTGAATTGTTCTCCAGCGGTGGGGTTGCCACGGCTCCGCTCCCACACCCGCGGGGCAGCGACCCCCTTGCCACACCAGGTGGCTGGCCTGGGTCAGAGATTCCCGGGGATGTGGTCACCCAGGCCGCCAGTGACAGCGAGTGGGTGTGAACGCCGCTGCCTTGCATGGACACTGAGCAGCAGCGTCTGCTCACCCTGTAGGGGTTGCGGGGGGAAGTGGCACCTTGACCTTTGGGGTTTCTTCCGGAAATCCCTACTCTGAAGCCAGAATGTTCCTTTGCGGGGGTGGGGGCACTGTGCGCAGTCCAGGGTGCCTGACCCGCGTCCCTCCGGCAGGTGGGAGGCGTGAAGGCCGGTGTGGTGCGCTTTCTCGGGGAGACGGACTTTGCCAAGGGGAATTGGTGTGGCGTGGAGCTGGACAAGCCGCTGGGCAAGAACGATGGCGCCGTGGCCGGATCGAGGTGGGTACTCCTGCCCCCCCCAGACAGCCTGGGGCAATGCACGGTGCCCGGGAGGTGCTGAGGGGACTGCAGGCCACTTCACTTGGTTCTTAGGCGGGGCCACTTCCGGTGGCACTCGGGGACCCTGCAGGGATGTGGGGACAGCCTGGGGCTCCCACATGCAGCTGTGCTAGGCCCGCAGGAACCCCCCAGGCCTGCTGTCGCCCTTCAGATGCCAGGGAGGCTGCTTGGAATCGCCCCTGGTTTGCGCAGTGGGGGTGGGCGGCATGCGAGGGAGTGTGTGTGTGAATGTATGAATGTGTGTGCTTCGGAGTGTGGATATGTATGTATGAGGGTGTGTGTATGTGAGCGTGTGAGTGTGGGGCTGTGAGATTGTTGGTGAGGGCATGAGCATGTGAGTGTTGGTGGAGGTGTGAGCATGTTTGTGAGGGAATGAGAGCGTGTCATTGTTGGTTTGAGAGCGTGCAAGTGTTGGTTGGGTGTGCGTGTGTGTGACTGTGGGGCTGTGGGAGTGTGGCAGTGTTTGTTGGGGTTTGAGCGTGAGTGTGTTTTTGTTGGGGTGTGAGTGTTTGTGAGTGTGGGACGTTGGGAGTGTGGGTGTGTTGGTTGGCGTGTGAGTGTGTGGGAGTGTGGGAATATCGGTTGGGGTGTGAGTGTGTGTGTTAGTTGGGGTGTGTGTGCATGAGTGTGGGGCTGTGGGAGGGTATGAGTGCTTGTTCGGGGGTGAGTGTGTGTGAGTGTGGGGCTGTGGAAATGTGGGTGTGTTTGTTGTGCTGTGAGTGTGTGTGTATGTTGGGGTGGGAGTGTGAGAGTGTGGGAGTGTTGGTTGGGGTGTGAGTGTGTGTGTTTCTTGGGGTGAGTGTGGGAGTGTTTGTTGGGGTGAGAGTGTTTGGGAGTGTTGGTTGGGGTGTAAGTGTGTGTTAGTTGGGATTTGAGTGTGTGTGAGTGTGGGGCTCTGGAAATGTGGGAGTGTGTGTTGGGGTGTGAGTGTGTGTATTTGTTGCGGTGGAAGTGTGAGAGTGTGGGAGTGTTGGTTGCGATGTGAGTGTGTGTGTTTCTTGGGGTGAGTCTGGGAGTGTTTGTTGGGGTGTGTGTGTTGGTTAGGGTGTGAGAGTGTGGGAGTGTTGGTTGTGTGTGAGTGGGTGTTTCTTGGGGAGTGAGTGTGTGTGAGTGTGGGGCTGTGGACATGTGGGAGTGTTTGTTGGGGTGTGAGTGTGTGTGTGTTGGGGTTTGAGTGTGTGGGAGTGTGGGAGTGTTGGTTGGGGTGTGAGTGTGTGTGTTTGTTGGGGAGTGAGTGTGTGTGAGTGTGGGGCTGTGGAAATGTGGGAGTGTTGGTTGGGGTGTGAGTGTGTGGGCGTGTTGGTTGGGGTGTGAGTGTGTGTGTTTGTTTGGGAGTGAGTGTGTGTGAGTGTGGGGCTGTGGAAATGTGGGAGTGTTGGTTGGGGTGTGAGTGTGTTTGTTGGGGTGAGTGGGAGTGTGAGAGTGTGGGACTGTTGGTTGGGGTGTGAGAGTGTGGGAGTGTTGGCTGTGGTGTGAGTGTGTGGGAGTGTGGGGCTGTGGGAGCGTGTTAGTCTGTGGGGGTGTGAGACTGTGGGACTCAGTGGACTCCGCGGTCGGGGCCTGTCTCTCTTGCCAAAGGTGTCTTTTGTCCCTCCCCTCCTCGTTGTCCGCAGGTACTTCCAGTGTCAGCCCAAGTGTGGCTTGTTTGTTCGCATTCACAAAGTCACCAAGATCGGCTTCCCCTCCACGACGCCGGCCAAGGCCAAGGCGGCCCCCGCGAGGCGTGTGATGGCCACCACCCCCGCCAGCCTGAAGCGCCGCCCGTCGGCCTCCTCGCTCAGCTCCGTGAGCTCCGTGGCCTCATCCGTGAGCAGCAGGCCCAGCCACACGGAATTAGTAAGCAGCCCCCCCCCCCCCGCCCTGTGAGATGCTCAGGCCCCCACAGACTCCCAGGGCCCCAGGGGCAAGAGGCGGAACAGGACCGGGTGGGCTGAGCAGCTCCACGTGGCAGGCAAGTGGCTTCCCAGCCACCACCGGTGACAGGAGCAGGGATGGGCCTTTCCTCGGGTGCTCAGGGCTCAGGCCGCCTTAGGGATGAAGTGGGGGAGCTGAAGGGGGCGTCGGAGGGTCAGAGCGGGACCCAGAGACTCTGGGGAACGCTTGGTGCTTGGCGTTGCCTGTTTGCTCTCTCCGTCCCTCCCTGCTCCCTCCTGTCCCTCTGCACCCCTGTCGACATGCAGAGGGGCCTCGACTTCTGTCCATTGCGGGGCCGCAAGTCCTAAACACTAAAGTGTGTCCGAATATTCAAGGGTGTCCTGAGATATTGTCCACAGGGAAACGGGCCCACGATGGAGACGTGTCCCGGGGGGCTGGCTTTGCTGGGGGCTGCGCTTCCTGCCGCCCCCTCTGCTCCCTGCATTGACCCTCGATGCGGAAGAGGAGGGAGTGAGTGTGTGTGCAACGGAAGATACAAAACAGATGACACGGGATCGGGAGCCAGGAGGCCACGCGCCGTGGGCACAGGCCTGGGGCCAGTCCTGTCTTGCTCGACCACCACCAGGTTACCCTGCCCTGCCTCCATCCTCACGTCCGACTCCTCCTTCCCCTCGCCTCGCCATTCAGGAGGGGAGCAGACTCAGAAGCCCCTCTCCTTCCCTCGCGAGCCAGCCCGTTTGTGGAATTCGGTTTTCTTTTTCTGCTTGACTGTGGGCCACACCCTGCAGTGCTTCAAGGGGCCGTTTGCAGTGCTGGGGTTGAGCCGGGGCCTCCCACCTCCGAGCAAGAGCCCCACGCCTGAGCCGTATCTCCAGCCTCCCCCTGCTGTCTTGTTTTGTTCTGTTCTGGGGTCACACCTGGCAGAGCCCAGGGCTTTCTCCCGCCTCTGTGCTCGGGATTATTCCTGGCGGGCCTCCGGGATTGAGCCTGGGCAGCGCTGGGGCTTCGCTCTCCAGCCCTTTGGCCCCTGCCTTGCATATCTTTACGCAGGGTGGAGCTCACTCCTACACTGCACATCACCGTTAGCACATATGACAGGAATATAGAATGATTCTGTGTGACTTCATGGAATTATACCTCGACAACATAATTCCATACGTGCACACACAAGCGATCACACACACACAGCCACTCATACATGTACACGTAGTACATACCGTATATACACAGGCTGATGGGTATATACACACAGGCACGTACATGCATAGACACAACGCGTGCATGCACACAGGTGTGTGTAGACATGCCCACAGGAACGTACGTGCATGCATACATACATGCACACAGGTCCGTGCGTGCCCTGTGGGAGGCCTCCCGGTTCGCTTGTTGGCTGAGTTGCTCTTCTGAGGTACCAGGCTCCCACAGAGGGTCTGGCCTTGCTGGCATGGAGCCTGGGGCCTCACACACCACGCGCAGAGCAGAGGCTTTGGCATCAACATCCTGAGTTCAGTTCGTGGCCCCGACCTTGCCCAGCCCCTCAGCGCCTGCCTCCCCTCATGCCAGGGGTGCTGCTTTCTCCCTGCTCCGGCGCCTGAACCTCACAGTCTCGTTCATTCCCATGGTTGCCTGAAAGAAGCTGTTCGCTCCCATGCTGGTTTCCTCAGGGAGCTGTCTCGGGCCCAGGAAGCGTGTGGGTCTGGCCTGCCCCACCCGCTCAGGCCAGGAGGCTCAGGGAACACCGCCGCCCGCCTTTCCTAGTTTTTATTTTTGCTCTTTGGTTTTGGGGCCCACCTGGCAGTGATCAGGGACTCCAGGCGTGGTGCTTGGGGACTGCTCCCAGTGGAGGGGGTTTGAGCCCAGGTCTTGGTGGAGACCCTCAAGGCTGTCAAGCTCTTCCCAGCCACCCCTTGAAATCAGAGTTGACTGCAGTTCCCGGCAGCACTGCATATGGCTGGGCCCGAGAGCTCGTGTGCTCCTAGAAATTTTATTTATTTATTATTTGTTTTGGGGCCACACTCAGGGGTGCTCAGGGCTTATTCCTGGCTCTCTGCTCTTGGGGTCACTCCTGACGGTGCTGGATCTTGAACCTCTGCAAGCACCTTCCCCCCCCCCCCAAAAAAAAACCAAACTCTTTGGCCCTGGGGAGAGCATTTAATCTGACCAATATACTTTAAGTGTATTGGGGAGTCACGGCCAGATCCTTACGCAGAGGCAAGGATGAGCCCACTCCCAGGACAGAACCAGGTAGCTCGAGTGCTCGCAGCACGCAAAGCAGCAGTGGACAGCCTGGGCCCTGCTGGGCTCGTCGGTCAGGAGGCGTTTGGCAGCAGCTCAGATGATGCGGGGAAGCGGCAAGAGACCCTGCGCTGGACCACAGCAGGGCGATGGAACAGGGATGGCCGGGCAGAGGAGCGGACGTCCTCGGCCACCCCCGCCTCAGCCCCTGCCACCTTGTGCCCGAAGAATGAAGACCAGGTCCCACCTTGTCCCCTCCTGCAGGGGCCGTTGTGCCGAGCGGGATCTGGGTCTGCAGAGCGACCATGAGCCCAGGACAGAACGGACAGGACCCCCGGTCCCCACGGCCCTCCAGCCCACTCCCCTCCCCTCCTCACTGTCTTTGCCTCTTCTCTCCTTCCCTTTGTGCTTGGTCTTCCCCTGAGCTGCCCTTGCTGTCCTGCTCGCTGGGCGTGAGCCCTCACACATGCTCACCCACCACTTGTTCCTTTTTTCCCTGGATTTTGGGCCACACCCCAGCAATGCTCAGGACTTACTCCGGGCTCTGCACTCAGTGTCACTCCTGGTGGGCTCGGGACCCTGTGGGGTGGGTACTTGGGATCCAGCTCGGGTCAGCGGCGTGCAAGGCCAGCGCCTTCCCCGCAACTTTACCATTCTAGCCTCTCATCCCCCACTTTCGAAGGCAGATGGCACAGGGGTCTTTTATGGGGTCACACCCAGTGACCCTCAGGGGCCCGGGGCCATTCCCAGAGACAAGAGTCTCTGGTTACTGCTGTTCAGGCCTGGGGCAGGTGCTGGGGAGAGCGAGGTGAGCTGGAAGGAAGAGGAAGAGAGAAGGGCCAGGCTGCCCTGGGGAGACCCTGACGGACGGACGTGCAAGGCTGAAGATGCTGGAGCCGGCCTCAAGCTCAAGCCAAGGGCTCAGCCTTAAGGAAGCTCAGGCCAGAGCGGGCTGTGGAGGGGGCTGCCTCCGGCTCTGCAGAAGAGTCTCTGGATTCCCACGAGGCCCGAGGTCAGTGGAGCCCATGTCCCATCCAAGGATCTTCGGGAAGGTTTCAAGACGCTTCTGCTGAGAGTCAGTGGCCCATATGCACGGATGCAGCGCTCCTCCATCTGCTTTGCTGAGGATAGCCACATGCATGCCCGCGTCCGCTGCCCCCAACCCCTTCACGTCTCTTTTTCCTTTGCAGTTGCCGGTAACTTCCTCCCGCTGCGCCCGCAAGATCTCCGGCACCACCGCCCTCCAGGAGGCGCTGAAGGAGAAGCAGCAGCACATTGAGCAGCTGCTGGCCAAGCGAGACCTGGAGCGGGTGGAGGTGGCCAAGGCCACGAGCCATGTGGGGGAGATAGAGCAGGAGCTGGCCCTGGCCGGGACGGGCACAACCAGGTGACGTCTGTGCAGACGGCAGTGCCGGGTCCGAGAGACGCCTGCGGCAGAGGCTGGGCGCGAGCTTGGTGCAGGCGGTGCAGAGAGAGGCCGTGGGTCCCCGTCTGCCGTCGTTGCGGTGGCGTCCACCAAGTGGTTTGATCGCATGCACCTTCTGCTCGCCCCGTGGGGGTTCAGGGAGCGCCGAGTTGTCCCCGCCGGTGCTTTCGTGCTGTGTTTCCCTTCCCGCCTTCCAGAAATGCTGCATCTTAGGTGGGAGACACGTTCAGCATGCCGTGGTGGCAGGTGGCGGTGCCAGCCCACAGAGGGCTGTCGGGGGCGGGCGAGGACACTCACGCGCAGTTGCCTCCACAGTACATCCTGGAGCTGGAGGCCAAGATGGACGAGCTGCGGGCCATGCTGGAAGCGAGCGACTGGGAGAAGGTGGAGCTGCTGAACCAGCTGGAGGAGGAGAAGAGGTGAGGCCGTGCCAGGAGCTGGGGGGCTGCCTCGGGTGGGGTGCTCCTGGCCTTCCAGGGCTGTGAGAACCACAAACCAGCGGGTGCCCAGTCCTGAGAGTGGCCTCATTGGGGGGGATGGGGGGGAGCTCACTGGAGCCCAGCCACCCCCTGCCCTCCCTGCTGTGTCCACGTGGCCTGGTGGTCAGGAGACCTGTGATGGGTGACCGGGAACTGTCGTATCCCAGTGGGGTCCTGTGGGAGTCCCTGGGGTTAAGTCCTGGGCGGGAGGAAACCCGCAGCACCCATGGGGCACGGCAGCAGACAGGCTGGGCTCAGGCCAGGCTGCAGACAGACGGACACGGGGTGCCGGCCAAGACCGTCTTCTCAGATGGGCTCCCGGCAGTGTGGTGCCCAGGGGCATTGCCAGTGCACGGCTCAGCCTCTCAGCTCCACATGCTGAACTCGCCACGTCCCCTGGGAGCCCCTCCTGCCCCCCCCGCCGCCCTGGCCCCGAGTCATTTGCTGCTTCTCCCCCAGGGGCTCAGTTGTTGTCCCGATGCGGGGACAGGCGCTGGCTGGGAGGGACTGGCATGCGCACCTGGTCAGTCTTTAACCACCTCTGTTAGCTGCGAGGCAGAAAAGGCTAATATGGCACTGCGCCTGGCGTTGGCTCGACAGAGCTTCCTCCTGTAGCCTGCGGGTACCACCCAGTGCTCGCAGCCGAGGGGACTCGCTGACTTTGTTTTTTTTCTTTTTGGGTCAACCCAGCAATGCTCAGGGGTTACTCCTGCCTCGGCACTCAGGAATTACTCCTGGCATTGCTCAGGGGACCATAATGGGATGCTGGAAATTGAACCCGGGTCGGCCACGTGCACGACAAATGCCCTGCCCGCTGTACTCTCGCTCTGGCCCTCGCTGACTCTCTCAGCCCTCCTGTGTGTGGAGGCGGGGGCTGGGTCAGGCGCGCATCTACAGGATGGTGGCCCTCATGGGGGGCAGCAGTGACGCCCCTCACAACTCTCCCTCTCCCCCACAGGAAAGTGGAGGACCTCCAGTTCCGAGTCGAAGAGGAGTCCATCACCAAAGGCGACCTGGAGGTAAAGCCCGGGCAGGTCAAGAGGCTTGCAGGGTGCAGACAAGGATGCGGGGTGGCCTGGCAAACCCCGCCGGGACCACTTCTGCTGGAGACTCCGAATCAGACAGGGATACCTGGTGTCATGCACCTGGCAGGGCCCGGCGGAGGCACCTCTGCTCCTTGGGGCCGGAGGCTGCTGTTGATGAGCGTTTTTCTCTCGTTCTGACAGTTGGGTCTACGCCTTTGCCTCAGCTTTGATTTTCAGTCGAGCAGCACAAATCAAATCCTTTAGAACCCCAGTTTTTTGAAGTAGGCGGGGGTCACACCCACCACCTGGCCCCCTGGCGCCGTGTAATCCCATCAGCGGCCAAGACTCAGAGACTATAAAATCCAGATCCCGGAACCACGCGGCCGCGCGACATCTTATCAGAACTTTTGTTTTATGACACCTTATTGTCTCATTCCTATTTTGGACAAACTTGCAGGCTATCGAATGTAGACTGCCCACAGGGCAGAGTCTGGCAAACTCCCCGTGGCGTACCAAATATGCCAAATACCAGTAACAATGATGGGTCTCATTCTCCTAAATAGCCTTGAATATAATCTCACGGCTAGGATGAAAGAGACATTACTGGGGCCTGCTCGAGGCAATCGACGAATAACAGGATGATGAAATGAAAACAATGAAATTCCTTAAAACAAGAAAAAGCAAACAGTCAGTTTGCAAAAGAATAATTTCTATTTCTGCTTCTTTTCCTTCCTGTTTTAAGTTCATGGAAATTTTGTTTTCCCACCAGGAGGTGAAGGCCCTGCAGGCGGCCTCCGAGAAGCTCGCCAAGGAGAACGAGGGGCTGAGAACTAAGCTGGACCATGCCAACGAGGAGAACACGGACGTGATCTCCCCGTGGAAGTCCAAGCTGGAGACGGCCATCGCCCCGCACCAACAGGCCATGGGCAAGCCGAAGGCGTCCGTGAGCCGGGGCGTGGGCGCCGAGGCGGCCGAGCTGGCCGAGCTCAAGATGCAGATGGAGAGGCTGCAGTTCGAGTACCAGCAGGAGGTAGAGAACTCGAAGGCCCAGCAGGTGGCTGAGCGTGCAGCGCACGCCTTTGAGCTGCAGACGCTCAGGTCGCGGCTGGTCAGGATGGCCCAGGAGCAGAAGAACAGCCTGGAGGCCGCGCGGGCCAAGCTCGACCAGACCGAGGACCAGCACCTGGTGGAGATGGAGGACGCCCTGAACAAGCTGCAGGAGGCGGAGACGAAGGTAAAGCACCTGGAGGGGTTGCGGGCCATGTGTAGTCAGCAAGCCCAGGCCCTGGCCGACACCACGGCGCAGCTGGAGGCCACCCAGGAGAAGCTCTTGCAGCTCGATGGGCTCCGGAAGGCCAGTTCCGAGGTAAATTGGGAATGGAGAAGCTCAGGCAGCAGCTCCAGGTGGCTGAGCGGCAGATTCAGGAGTTAGAGAATGCAAAGTGGGCCGAGAGCGGCAGGTTGGTACCCGGGCACCCTCGCCCACTTCCACGCTCGCTCCCTGCATGCTGTGTGTCAGTGTGCTCGCCGCCGTGTTCCGGCTTGGTGCTGACAGGTCTCCCGGTCACGTCCCGTGCGGTACCCTCTGATGGGACTGAGAACGTGTCAGCACGATTCTGGGGCTGTCATTGGTCCCCAGCACCCGGATGCCGTGCTAGCCTTGGCCCCGGCTAATCGGGCCCGTCTGGGGTCTTTCTGAAACTGAGAACTCTTCACAAGGCCAGTGAGAAAACAAGATAGGAGCCCCCAGAGCAAACCTCGGCCCCCCCGCCTTGGGCCCCCTGTGTACTCGCCAAGTCCGCCCAGACCCTTGGGCTCAAGTCTGGCCGCAGGAGTCTTTCCCTGACATTGCTGACCACTTGCTCGTGTGACTGGCTTTGCCATCCTGTCCCTGAGGCGCCTCAGTTTCCAGCTCGTGCTCAGTGCCTCTGAACCTCTGAGCTCCCTCAGGGCTGGTGACGTGGCCCATCTTGGTATTTCTCATTGCCGGCCCCTCCCTGCCTGCAGCACAAGCCCCCGCCCAGCCCTGCAGAGATTTCATCCCTTTCAGTCTCTAAGGGGTGCTTGGGCCAAGTCCGCCTTCCAGCATGGCCTCCTGCTGACCACGGGCATGGACTCTCATGGTAGCCCTGACCCTGCGGAAGGACAAGACAGTGAGATCTGGGCCAAGCCGAGGAAGCTGCAGTTCTCACCAAGGAGCCCCGAGAAATGCCCTTTTCCTCCTATAGGATTGTGGTGGCAGAGACGTGCCCTCCCAGCCGCGCCCGTCCCCCCCTTTCTCCCCCCCCACCTCCCGGCGCTGGGCGCTTTGTTGGAGAAACTTTTCTGTTGGCCAAGATGGAAGGGCTGTGGGATTTGTAGACAGGAGTGACAGACATAACAGAAGGACCCAGAGACCCCCGGGAGTTCCTCTCAGGACTCAGGACTCCTTAGCTGGCATTCCAGAAACACCGGCTGAAACAAACGGAATCAATTCCTAGGACACAGCAGGGGATAGTTGAGCCACTTGTTCGCATCAAGATGTAACAAACGTCAAGTTCTGGTGACTGCTGCCTAGTGGATTAGAGGTTCTTCATTTTAAATTCATATTGAAACCCCTCCAACTTTTAAAGTCACAGACAAGAAACTACAAGAAAGTAAATCTTGGGGGCCAGAGTGATAGTACAGTGGGAAGGGCATTTGCCTTGCACACGGCCTACGTGAGTTCGATCTCCAGCATCCCATAGGGTCACTGTCATTGTCACTGTCCTCCCGTTGTTCATCGATTAGCTCGAGCAGGCCAAAAAAAAAAAAAAGATAAACCTTTTCTTCCCTCCTTCCCCTCCCTTTCTCTTTCTTCCCTGTTTCCTCCCTCCCTCCTTCGTATCCTTAGCCGCCCTCCTCCCTTGCTTACTTCCTTCTTCCTCGCCAAGCCATGCTCTCGGCTCTGGGGTCCTCCCACCCAGCAGTAGCTGGTCTTTTCAGCTTGTGGACCGATCACAGGCTCGCCCAGTGGGGCTGCAGTTCAAATTCGGGCCTGGTGTGTACTCCAGCCCTTTGTGCCGTCTCCCCGCCCCTGGAAAGTCAGTCTTTCTCATAGGCTTTCTTATTTTCTGGTCACTCCAAATGTAGGTCTAGAAAACGCCTCTGTTTGAGTCATTTTCAATAACCACTAGACAGTCATCACCAGAACTGATGGCGCCAAAGCCTTGGCTTCGAGAGCTTCAGGCAATCACGCTCACCTCACGCCTCTTCTTCGGGGTTGTGTTGGGTCATGGGCTTCTCATACGTGTTTCCTGTTTTGTTTTCCCCTTCCTGTTCCTGTTCGTGTTTTTGGTCCATTCACTCCATCCTTGTCACTCTGGTAGGCCGATAGCCTGGCCGAGGAGCTGCAGGGGAAGGAGCTAGCGCTTCGTAGTCTTCAGGAGAACTTGAACGAAGTCAGTCGAGTGAAGGAGGCTTTGGAGAAAGAGCTTCGGAGTTTGGTGAGTACCAGGGGAGTCGGACGCTGATCTTTACCTTGCTGAGGGTAAAGCAAAGCCTCCTCAGGCGAGCTCGGCCCCTATCGCCTCTGAGGCTCATGAGCGTGTCAGCTCGAAAGCCCCAGGGACTGCGCGAGCCCCCATTGGGGCAGCAAAGGTAGGTGCGCTGCTCTGTCCGCGCTGTGCCCTCCGCCTCTGCCTGATCAGTGAGTGGCCAGCGATGCTCCCTGAGTGCCAGGCTCCTTCCTCCCCTCAGCAGCGCCTCAGGCTCCTCTCCCGTGCCCCTGCCCCCTCGGCTCTGTCTCCCCTGGCAGCCGGGAGCACTGGGGGCTCACATCAAGGGGAGGGGGTGAGAGACATGCACTGGGAAGGCCGCTTTTCTGGAACCTTCCAGACACCTTCCTGCACTGGATCAAAGTGTGTTTTCTGGTTTTCTTTTTAGGATTTTTTTTTTTGTGTGTTTGTGTGTGTTTGTTTTTTTGTGTGTGTGAGTTTGGGGTAGATTATTTTTGTTTTCTGGGGTTTTTTTGTTCCTGTTGTAGTTCTTGTTGTTTTTTGTCTTTTTGTCACAGTTGGGGGCGTTCAGGGGTCACTCCTGGCTCTGCACTCAGGAATTACTACTGACGGGGCATCCCCTATGGGATGCTGGGGATCAAAGGCGGGTCATCCTTGTGCAAGACAAACACCCTCCCCGCTGGGTGATTGCTCTGGCCCTGGGGTGTGTGTGTGTATATATATATATATATATATTTTGATGGTGGTTGTGGGGGACTAGTGCCATGCCTGTCAGTCCTTGGAGGCGACTCCTGGCTTTGTGCTCAGGATATTCCTGTTAGTGCCGGGATTCAGACCGGGGCCAAGTGGCCTTACTCAGTGCTCTCTCTCTCCCAGCCCCCAGATGATCACCATGTTTATTGGGGCTCCCCCCAAACTCGGTGGTACTCCTGGCTCAGGGTCTAACCGGCTGGCTGTTCTCGGGCGCCTGGACCCTGTGCCAGCCCTTCAGCCCCCAATATCTATGTTCTAAGTGCAAGTTCATTTTCATGAACATTGTGTGTGTGTGCTGGTGAGCAGAGCAGAGTCGCCCGTGTGTGTGCGGGTATGTTTATGTGTTTGTGTGCGTTGTGTGTGTGTGTATGTGTGTGCGCGCGTGTGTGCTGGGGGCAGGCAGGAGGCCTGCGGCTGATGGTGGCCCCCGGCTCCCCGCAGGGGGAGAAGGTGGACGTGAGCCGCAGCCAGTCCCAGGCTCTGCAGGCCGAGCACGCCAAGTCCACCACGGAGAGCCAGGCGCAGCACGAGGAGGCGCTGCAGGCCCTGCAGAAGCTGCAGCTGCAGGCGGAGGAGAAGCTGCAGGCGGTGCAGGCGGAGAACGGGAGCCTGCTGCAGGAGGTGGCCGAGCTGAAGACGCAAGCCGACAAGGCCAAGGTGTGTGGGCGCAGGGCCGCCGTCTCGGGGTCGGGCTCTGTTGGGGGCCTCGGCCTGCAGCCTCAGACACTTCCTCCGCCCGTGGGCGCCTGTGAAAGCCGGAAGGGGGTTGCTCCCGGGGCGCCCGGCAGAGCACATAGAAGCCCAGGGACCCCAGCTTGGGTTGTCTGTTTTGTTTTTAGCTTGCTCAGTAAGTTCAGGCCTTCGTGTTTTCACTTGACTGCTCAAAGGCATTTTTTCATGTATCAAAGAAATGTTAAGGTTCGAAGCTCAGTGGGGAGAAATAAAGCGGCTGGAACTAGTGCAGTGAGAGGGCACTTGCTGTGCACGTGACCCACCGGGGGATCCCCAGCATCCCCCATGGTCCCCCAAGCACCCAGGAGGAAGCCGTGACCTCTGCCGGGTGTGAACCCCAAAACAAGAAGGAAAATAATGTACACACACATATATGTGTGTACATACATAACATGTACATATGTGTACGTCTTTATATCCATATAATAAGTGTATTTTAATTCATATGTACATATTTTGATACATTTTTAGTTTTCCACGCTTGGTCCCATGTATGCCTATACATATATGTGCTTGTATGTATGTGTGTGTATACATATCTATAAGCCAATGGAAAGAAAACGGAAGCGAGCTTACATCAGAGGAAACCAGGGCTGCTGAGTGGCGGCCATGGCCCGCGTGTGTGTTGGTGCCCGGCCTCTTTCCACCACGCACCAGAGCCAGGGCTACGTCTCCTCTCTGGACCACCTGCACAGCCCAGTTCTGTGGCCAGCAGCCTCGTGTACATGCTCAGGTCAGCCCCATTCCGGTAACCTGACCGTCAGCGGTCAGCTGCCCAGCGCACACCAGTAGCCTGCTGCAGCTCATGGCTGCTGAGCTGGACAGAGAAGATAGCCCTTGCTGCAGAAAGTTCTGGAAAGTACATGGCAGTTAAACTATGGTGTGCATTGAGACTCAGAAAAGAAAACGCACAACCCATTGCTGACGGGCAGGGAGAGCAGGTGAGGGAGACCCTGGCCCGTGTGCGGCCACTCCTCCTGGAGCCTCTGGGCCCCTCCCAAATTACTGCAAACACTGCCTCCCATTGTTCATCGATTTGCTCGAGCGGGCCCACTAATGTCTCCATTTTGAGACTTGTTGTTACTGTGTTTGGCAAGCAAAACCTGTTGGCTTCAGTCTCCAAAGCTTGGTGGATTAGTCTGGATTTCCTATAAAGTGTATAACTTTTGGGACTAAGTCCATTTCCTGCCTCTGTTTGTCCCTGTGAAAATCGTTTGACCAGCAGTGGTTGCTTTTGCCTTCCCCTTCTGCACAAAGTTCAAAAACAAAATACTTTTTGTAGTTCTTTGAATTGTACTGAAAACTAGTTTTTTAATGCATCCCTTCTATGACAGTGATGGATTTTATAATAGAATAATTGAAGTGGGGGGAAAAAATCTTATGCCCCAACGTCAAGATCCAACTGTACTTAAACCTTCCGGGGAGCTGTCAGGAATAATTTAAGACGGCATTTCAAAAATAAAATGGCTGATAGTAAGAATGGGTAGTGCTGCCTTGTACTCGGCCAACCCGGGTTGATCCCCAGCATCCCGTATGGTCCTCCGGCCCTACCAGCAGTGATCCCTGAGCACAGAACCCTGAGCGAGCCCAGAACACCTCCAGGTGTGGGGCCCCCATCCACAAAAAAGGCAGGTAGATATGTTGACCCTGTGAAGCTGTTTCAGCCTCTCCATCCTGCGTGTGTGTGTGCGTGTGTGTGTGTGAGTGTGTGAGTGTGTGCGCGCGCATATACACGCGTGTGCAGGTAAGACTACTCTGCCATTTTCATTTCTGGTATTTAGGCCACATTAAGTGCTTGGCTTGCTTGTGCCTGCTTGATCTCATTCTTGTTTCCATTCTTCCCCGCTTTTGTTTCTGTAGTCATTAACTTCCCTAATAACATCAGAGGAAATTGAGCTGATGTCGGAGGATCGCAGGGCCCTGAGGTCAGAGAATCAATTGCTGGCGAAGGAGAAGCTCTCTCTGAAGTCAGAGAGAGAGTCGTTGCTATTGAAGTTGAAGGAAGCGGAGGCCAAAAACTCTTCGCTGCGGGAAGAGCAGAGGAAGCTCTGGCTGTTGAACCAAGCGATTCTCTTCGATAAAGAGAAGGTCATCGAGGCCAGGCGGGCCGCAGAGAAGCTCTGGCAGGAGGAGCGGCTCGGCCGAGAAGCCCTCGAGGCGGAGAAAGAGAAAGTGCTGGAAGAGGGCAGGGCGGTGCAGGAGGAGCTCCAGAGGGTGGGCGCGGAGAACGACGCCCTGCAGGTCGCCAAGGTGGGGCTGCAGGCCCTGGTGGAGGAGCTGCAGATGAGCAAGAGCGGCCTGGTGGCCGAGTGTAAGAAGGGCCTGGAGGAGAGGGGCCAGCTGGAGGAGCATGTCAAGAAGCTGGTTCTGGAGAACCTATCCCTGGCCAAGGACAAGGACAACATCATCCAGAAGCTGCAGTGCTCCTATGAGGAGCTGGCTCGGGATCAGAAGTCGCTGGTGCAAGAGATCGCGGAGCTCACGGCCGAGAAGAAGTCGGCCCTCGAGAAGCAGTCGGCCCTCGAGGTGGCGCTGCAGGAGGCCCGGGATGCGGCCCGCAGCCTGGAGAAGACACACGCCAGCATGCTGCAGGCCAAGGAGGCGCTTGACGCCGAGCGGCAGGAGGAGTGCCGGCGGCTGGCGGAGGACAGGCTCGCGGCACAGCAGGCCCTGGTGCAGGAGCTGGAGGCCCGTGCCCAGGAGACCCAGGCGGCCGCCCACGAGGCCAGCCAGCTGCGAGGCCGCCTGGGGCTGCTGGAGCAGGAGGTGGAGGAGCTGCGGGCGCATGCCCAGGGGCTGCAGGCCGAGCACCTGGACCTGGTGGAGGAGAAGGCGCGGTCAGACAAGAAGGTGGCCGAGATCCTGCGGGAGAAGGAGCAGCTGGCCGGCAGTTACTTCCTCCTCCAGAAGGAGGTCAGTCGGCTGGCCCAGACCAGCAGCCACGTCTCGGCCAACCTTCTGGAGGCCCAGAAGGGGAACCGCGGTCTGAGGAAGGACAAAATCAGGCTCGCCGTTAAAATCAGAGAGCTCGAGACGCTGCCGGCATTCACGGTAAAGTGGAGCAGGCCCGACCCCCGTTGGCCCAGGGCACCCCCTTTTAGCGGTTAAGAGGATTGCTCTTTGTCGGCACAAGGAGCTGTGGATCCCCACGGAACCTGTGTGTCACGGGCTGTTTGCTGCGGGCGCAGGGACAGCTCGTCACCACGTGCCTGCTGACCTCTAGGACAAGGCATAAGCTGTGAATAAAACCAAAAAGGACAGTATGTTCATTTCCGGGGGGAGTTCTCACGGAAGATTGCACTGTGGCTCTTCAAGACGTAAGGGAAGTCATGAGAGAGGCACTGAGTTGTAAAGTAAAGCGGTGTCTTCCGGGGGGACTTTGAGCGGTTGCCCTGAGTCTGCTCACTTGGGACTCGGGGGTGCCCTGTGCCACCAGCAGTGTGCCCGGTGCAGGGCGGCCTGGACTCGAGGGTGCCTGGTGCCGGGCAGGTGTTCTCTCTTCCCAGCTCACTCAGGGTTTGCCTTTCTCCCACTCCCACACCTGTGCTCACGGCTCACATCTCCTCTCCTTCCTTTCCCCCCTCCCCCCAACGCTTTCCAACCAGGCCTGCTTAGCTGTCCCCTCATGTCATTTTTATTCTGTGTGAGGAATGGAGGCTCTTGGGAGCACTAGGCTGTTTCAGGGCATCAGTCTTGCCGCTGAGCGGTTTAGACGTGAGTCCCCGCGGGGTGAGCGGCGCCCAGCGGGGGCCGGAACCACTGTGGCAGGTTTGTGTGGCGTTTCGCGCTGTGCTCTGCCACTGCGGCCAACCCCTCCCTGGCCCCCCAGCCTGGCTCAACGAGGTTTCTCTCTCCAGGCTGTGCAGACAGCGGAAGATGCCAGGCATTTTATGGAACAACTGTCCCAAGAGAAGACAGAGACCCTGGCCTCCCTGGAGGACACCAGGAACACCAATGCAAACTTGCAGAATGAGGTGGGTGATGGTGGTGACCAGGGCGTGTAGGCCCGGCCTCAGCCTTGAGAGAAACCATATCCTGGGCCAGAGTGATAGCACAGCGGGGAGGGCGTTTGACTTACACACGCCAGACCCAGGTTCAATCCCCGGCATCCCATATGGTCCCCTGAGCACCGCCAGGAGTAATTGGTCCCTGGTTCTTTGCATGGGACAGGAGGGGAAGTGTACCCCTGCGTGACCCCTGTATGACCCCTGGGGAGGTGCTGCGCGGAGTGACCACACAGGATCCGGGGGACATGGGGCGGCCTGGCGAGATCACTGAACAGCTGACCACTCCCAGACTGCTCGGAGGAGCAATGAGCCTGGCAGGGACTGGACGCCCCAGTTAGCTCGCCCAGAGCCTGGGCCGGGACAGGAAGAGAAGCCACATGTGTTGACATACACAGCGTGTCAAGGCTCTTTGATGACCGTGAGAAGGCCAGCCACTGCCCTCTGACCACACAGCCCCACTTTCCTGGGCTCGAGTGACTGCTGATGGCCTGGACTGCTCCACCCTCGCCAGGAGTGATCCCTGAGAACAGAGCCAGGGCTTAGTCCCCACCCCACCAAACAAACCAAACTGACTACCCACAAAGGTTATAGATAAGCATGTATACATACACAGACATGTACATATGTATATATGCGTGTATGCTTCAAAAGAGTCGGGGAATATCTACCATTTAAGATATCCGAGAATGGGGCCGGAGCTATAGCACAGCAGGTAGGGTGTTTGCCTTGCACGTGGCCAACCCAGGTTCCATCCCTGGCATCCTATATGGTCCCCGAAGCACAGCCAGGAGTAATTCCGGAGTGCAGAGCCAGGAGTCACTCCTGAGCAACGCCCGGTCGTGACCCCAAAATCCCCCCTCCCAAATTAATTGATGAATTAAAATAACAGAAGCCAAAAAGAAGGAAGCTGAGGAAGAAGGGACTGTGCTCACCTGGCACCCGTGAGAACCAGGGCCCGGGCACCTGCTGCCAGAACCCCACCCCCACACGCTCCCAGCACAAGAGGTGATGCTTATGGAGTGAAAGGCCCCATGGACAAGGACACATCCCTTCAGTCAAGGGGTCACGTCCTTGCAAGAGCCGAGAAGCCAGACCCCTCCACTGCCCTTACTCCTGCTGCTCTCCCAGAACCTGGGCTTCGGGCTCCCATAAAATTGGCAAATCTTCACTTTGCCAGAGTCGAACACCACTTTGGAGGGCCTCCTTCCCATCAGGAAGGTCCGGTCGCAAACGGAAACGTCCACCAACATGTGACTGTCCCAGCCACGTTGCGCATGCTCTGGGCACAGAGCTGGGGGAGTCTGGTCCTCTGGGCCGCCTTCCTGCTTCTTGCTCCTGTCGAGGGAGACAGCTGGGTGGGGTCCTCTGGAGTGTGCACACTTGGCTGCAGACCCCAGTGCCCGCACCTACCATCAGCAGGCTCAGGTCTGGCCTGCGGCAGGAGTCAGCCTTGGGGCCTCCTTGATGGCTCTCCTTCCCCAACCCTCTTCCATCACACCCGGGCCTGCAGCGCTTTATAGTTTGAATCGTCTCTGAGGAAGGGGACCGTCTGGGTCCCCGTGCCCTGTGGAGTTCCCGCACACCCTCACTTCCTGCCCTTCTGTACTTAACAGCCGGTGGCCCTGGACGGCACATGTGGGCTGAAGTGAACTTTACATGTGGGCTGTGGACGTGGACCCTGCATGGGCTTGTTGGGAACTGAACATTTCCATGTTTTTTTTGTTTTTTTTTTCAGCTGGAGGAAGAGAGATCTGTGTTTCTTGGCCCAGTGTGGGGGGGCCTGGGCACTCTCAGAGACTCCTCATCAGAACTGGCCCTGAGGGAGAAAAAGAATCAGTCTGTTTTTCTGGTTTTCTTTCTTCTTTCTTTGGGGGCCACACCTGGCGATACTCCGGGCTTCCTCCTGGCGCTGCACTCAGGAATCACTCCTGGCTGCTCTCTGCTGGCCCCTGTGGGATGCCAGGGATCAAACCTGGGTTGGCTGCGTGCGAGGCAAGCACCTTTCCCGCTGTGCTATCACTCAGACCCAAACCTGCCAGTTTTTAAATGAAACATGAATGTTTGTGCCTACAGTCATGCTTGCTTTTGTAAAGTGGGATTTTTCCCCCCGTGGATTTTAAAGAAGTGAGTCTGTCTTTGTAGGAGAGGGAAGGCCCTCTTGACTCCCTGCTCTGAGATGAACCGAGGGGGCCCAACATGTCCTCCTGGGGTCTTCCCTGGGGCACCCGGGAGCTTGCGCTCAGGAAGGGAAAGGGGAGCTCTGGCTGCCTCAAACCCTGGGGCGGGGACTGGAAGCGGGGCCCAGCCTCCTCTGTGGCGGGCTCCGATGGCTCCCGCAGATGGCTCACCGTCTCACGCTCTCCTTTACCACAGATTGATTTCCTGAATTCCGTGATTGTGGACCTCCAAAGAAAGAATCGGGACCTCAACAATAAAGTGGAGATGATGTCCGAGGCCGCTCTCCAGGAAGGGGGACGACCTCAACAATTGAACAATTGCGAAAACAACAGTTTCGGCCCGGCCACCCCATTCTCTGCACTGTGCAGAAATCTCCAGCAGTTGATGGATGACATAACAGTCTACTTGTGAAACACCTAAAATGACCAATTTACTGTTTTTATAAGCTTTACTTTTTTTGACTGTGCGTTTAGATGATGTATGATGAGAAATTCAACATTAATTCTTTTGGATTTTCTTATCACAAAAAAATTAAATGAAGGACCTCAACCATCAGAAGTTTATCATCCAGTTTGAATCTATTTTTTTCACTTGAATGTTTTCTAGTTCTGTAAAAAGTGATAAATAATGTACCATCCAGGCTACATGTATAATAAGAACTTCTATCATTGTATATATGCTTTTGATGTATTTTCCTCTGGAGATTATCAACTGTCTGACAAGTGAAAGATCTGTATCAATTGACATTTTTAGTAATAACCATTATTGAAATTGTTTCACAAACTATGTAAAGCAGTATTAAAATTTGAGCAAACAAGTGTCCTATATCTACTTTAATAAAATTATTTCTTTTTGCCAGTGATAACTGATTATGCTCAGGTTCTTTTATAAAAGATTTTTGGCTAACAATCAAGAATTATAGAGTCAAATAAGTCAAACAGTTTCTACAATGGAATTCTGATACACCAATTTCTTTTTGTTTCTTTATGTTTGTGCCACACCTGGTGATGTCTTAGGGCTTATTCATGGCTCTGCACTCAGGAATCACTCCTGACAGTGCTTGGTCAGACTATATGGAATGTCAGGGATTGAAGCCAGATTGGCCAAAGCAAATGCCCTACCAACTTCACTATTGCTCTGGGCCTGTGAACCATTTTCTTAAAAGCGTTTATCTTGGGCTAAAGAGATAGTGCAGTGAGTAGGGTACTTGCATGTGGCTGATCTGGGTTCAATGGCAGGAATCCCATCCAGTCATCTGTGCCCTGGCAGGAGCAATCTCTAAGTGCAGAGGCAGGAGTAAACCCTAAGAAGCACTGGGTTGGGGGTATGGTGCCACCAGCAGGTCAGTCTGTACCTGTGAGGCGAGTGCATCAGCAGCCTGATGGCGCCTTCAGACTTCCAGGTACCCCCAAATTGCTGCCGTGCGTTTGGCCAGACCCCAAAAACTTGAGGCAGAGTTGACCACGAAAGTAAACAGGTAAAAGATATGTGGGAGATACACCCACAAACCACCTCCAGTTCAGCTATATAATTGGAGGCATGGCCTCTCTGGTTCCTGATTGAACTGCTGAACAGCCATGATCCCAGAGACTCAGAAACAAATCTCGAAACCCAACGACTTTTGGCAGAAATGTGTCCAGTCCCTGCAGTAAGTTAGAGGCGCTGGGCCACCCCAGGTGGGAATAGATTTTGTGCCTTGGCCTGTTCCCCCTGGCAGCCCGCTGGCCGCCATCCTCCAGAGGCCACTGGACAGTCAGATTTAGGCCCACAGTGACGAGACATGTAGGGCCTCACGGGATGGGGGTGGAGCTAGCCCTTTCCTAAACAAAAAGATCCCAAGTCGTCACCCACAAACGGCCTCTCTGGCTCCTGATTAAGGTGCTTAACGGCCATGATCCCAGAGACTCAGACACAAATCTCAGAATCCAGTGGCTTTTGGCAGAAATGCATCTGAACCCTGCAGTAGGTTACTGTCGCTGGGCCGTTCCAGGGAGGAAAGGGTGCTATCCCCTCCACCTGCTCCCCCTTGGCGGCTCGGTGGCCGCCATCCTCCAGAGGCCATTGGACAGTCAGGTTTGGGCCCTCAGTGATGAGACATGTGGGGCCTCACGGGATGGGGGTGGGACCAGCCCTTTCCTCCCCATCCCAGCAAGACCCCTAGTCACCACCCACTAACGGCCTTTCTGGCTCCCGATCAATCTGCTTAATGGCCATGATCCCACAGACTCAGGAACAAATCCTGGAACCCAGCAGGTTTTGGGAAGAAATTCCTCCAGATTTAATTGTTAAAATTTTGGAATTTCAAAATCGCACAGCCACTACTACAACCACGTGACATCATATGTTATTCATAACCAGGAATAGAAAACAAATTGTCTACTGTTGCCCTTTCAGCAGCTCTGAGTGTTGGGGTAAAATCCCAAATAATAATGGTGGGTCCAGTGTCAAAATATTGAATGTAATCAAAGTAGAGAGAGCGCAATGTGAAAATCATCTCTCCACAGGTAGGGGGAGGGTGTGGGATGGGGGTATACTGGGGTTTTTGGTGGTGGAGAATGGCACTGGTGAAGGTATGGGTCTTTCATTTTATAACCAAGATTTAAACCCAAAAGCTTTGTAACTGCTCTCATGGTGATTCAATAAATAAAATTATAAAAAATGAAAAAAAAAAAGAACAACTGGGTGAGGTTTAAAGGCATAAAAACCCAAAACAAATAAAACCTCTATTGCATTATTGCAAAGCTTCATAACCAATGTAGCCTAAAATGAATACCTTCAGTGATTCT